AAACAAAAGGTTTCTATTCTCACCCTAATTCCACCTCCATTTTCAATTTCGTTCAATTAACATGGACAAACGGACGGACATACATAGCTAGATCGACTGCTTATAAGTCAAGAACGGCTGGATAGATTTTCACAATTCTCATCAATTCAGGATGACCTCTTGCCAGAAAAGGATAATATCTAAGAAATTCGCGTAAAATATGACAACAAAAAAGTGAATATTTTTTGTTACATTTTTTCAATTTTTGTCATATTTTTTATCGCATTTTGAATTGAACATTTTCGAAAGTTTTTCTACACCCTGCAACCCTATGTGTTGAGAGTTATGTACATGGAAGAAGTCTAGCCTTTTGGATAACCATTGGATTAAGTTTAGAGGTAAAATGGACCACAACTTTCGTGTGAAATTGTTTTGAATACATAACAACATGACGGAGAGCGTAAATATTCTGGAAATACCCCCGATCAAAAATCTAAGGGTACGGCTCTGTGGCATCACAGAGTTGTGTGGACCCCAGGGTAGCCTAAAACAATTTTTTAGGCAAATCAATGTTGTCAAGACCAAGATGGGCCCTATTCCGAAAATTGAAAATTTTATGCGAAGAGCTTTTCTACCTCCTTAAAACCAAGATGCCAAAAAAGGGCCAAAAAAATGAAAAAAGTGTCCAAGACCCTGAAAATAGTTTAAATCATATGATGGCTATACCAAAGCCTGATAATTTTTTGCAAGGATGGTTTCTTCTCAAATTACCAATGTTTACACCTTGTCCGGGGGTTATGACCCATATTATGACCTATAAAAGCGATTTAAGATATCTTGAAAGTTTAGGAAGAATTTCTGATAGGATGTAAATCCTTTTCTTATCTATTGTCCATTCGCTCTACTATTTTGCGCCCTTTATATTCGGTAATTACCGAAGTAGGTCTACGTTTTGAAATGAGTCCCATAATGCTTTGTCTGTAATTTGTGTTTGTTAAAATGTATATGCATCTTCCAGATTAAGCACGATGGCAGGTCCTGGAGTTTAAAGCTAGGTGCCAATTTTATACATGAAAGATCGCCATTTAACATCGTATTGCGCACTCGTTCCATTTCTAATATTATTCATTCAGAATTGAAAAATATTAAAAAATGTCAATATCAATATTGCATGTCATGTTGAAAAAATTCACGTCAAAAAGATTTTTTTCCCTCCCCTCCACCATTCTATGGAGGGTATATTAACTTTCTCATACCGTTTGTAACTCCTCGAAATATTTATAATAGACCCTACAAAGCATATATGTTCTGGATCAGCGTAAAATTCTGAGACGATCCAGCGATGCTCGTCTGTCTGTTGTAATAACGCTATCTTTCGAACGAATTGAGATAGCATATATGCATAGTTTACCAGTATTTTCGTATAGCCCTCATATAACGTTACCTCCCGACATGCAGTATGTTCATGATTTTAGCGACATTATTTACCGGAATTATTTCAAATTTCGTATTTGAAGTTCGTAATGGGTGCTACAGCCTATGACAAAAATTTTTGTATGCAGGTCCAAGTTCTCGTATAGACCCCATAAAACGGTACCTCCCGATCGGTATTTTGATGATTTTAACAACATTTTTCACCGGAATCGTTTCAAAATACGTATCTTAATGGGTACAATAACTTATGACGGTACCTCCCGATACTCTGTATTTTCATGATTTTTACGATAATATTCACCGTAATTGTAACAAATTTCGTATTTAAAGTTCGTAATGGGCACTACTACTGACAAAAAAATTCGTATGCAGGTCCACGTCTTCGTATAGTCCCCATATAACGGTTTTCATTTAAGTGGTAGTTTTCGGATTTTTTATACCCTACACCACAAGGTGGTCAGGGTATTATGTATTTGTGCATTTGTTTGTAACAGGCAAAAGGAAACGAGATAGACCCATTGTTCCTTTTGATGATCTGCATAGAATCATATTCTGAGTCGATTTTTGAATGTCCGTCCGTCTGTCTGTCCGTCCGCCTCTCCATGTATTTTTGTAAACAAAGTACTGTTTTGGCATCATTTCTCTGGCCCAAGGACGAACCCTATTGAAATTGGAGATAATCGGTAAAAATTTAGAAATAGCACCCATATATATCTTCGTCAGATTTGCTTTTTATTGTGCACCAAACGTGCAATATCAGTCCGAATAGTATGGAATTTTGCACATACAACCAAAATAGGCTTGCAAATAAGTATACCAAATTTGATCGAAATCGGTTCAGATATAGCTATAGCTCCAATATATATTGTTCATCCGATTTTGTATTTTTGTCCTCCGCAGCCGTAATATGCACTCTGTAACAACAATATTTGGGGAAATTTATCAAATACAGCTCAGAAATACATTTGCTAAATTTTATCGAGATCAATTCAGATTTGTATATAGCTCCAATCTATAACTTCGTCTGATTTACCTTATATTGTGCACCAAACGTCTAATATTTGCCCAAATGGGATGGAATTTGGCACTTATGAATGAATTAAATCTAGAAGCTAGTATGCCAAATTTGGTGATTGGTTCAGATATAGCAATAGCTCCAATATATATTGTTCATCCGATTTTGTATTTTTGTCCTCCGCAGCCGTATTCAGGGAAATATATGAAATACAGCTCAAAAATATATTTGCCAAATTTTATCGAGATTGGTTCAGATTTGGATATAGCTCCCATATATATCTTTATCTGATTTCAAATAAATTTTGCGCCAAATTGGCAATACAACTTTAAATTATAATTATAATCGTCGCGTGTATGATTGAATTCTCCCTTCTACTAAATTAGCAAAGTGGGGTAGGGTATTATAAAGTCGGCCTCACCCGACTTTAATAGCCTGTTCACAGAACTTTTGTTTAAGGCAGACAAGCAATTGCTACCCAGACAATCAAGTTATTATTTCAGTTCATTTCCTTTTTTGCCTGGCAGTAAAAGCTCATTTTACCCATTGCCCTACTGCCAAAAAAAATTGTTTATATTTCCAAAAATAAAATTTGTTTATTTATTTATTTATTTTTTTTTTTTAAATTATTACGTCCGTTGGTTTTAGACGTGACGTGTCGGTGCCCGGACGTAATCCTCACGGACATAAACCCCATTGCAATTATGGGGATTATGCCCGGTTTGTTTTTGTCCGCTCCCACACAGAGACAACCCCCATGGGGAGTATGACCGTTTGCTGTGTGGACTACTTACAAAAATAATTAATTTTAGAAATCTTTGATTCGCGGTAGCCGGTGCAGGACACGCTCAGAGGAGAAGATCTCAAGCCCCGGCCAAACAACGGCTACTTACAAGAATTATGAAATTTTGGGAGCAGGAAAAAATCTCAATTTTTGGGCAATTTTTTGGAAATTAGCGGACAAACCTCCCATAATAATGGGTATGTCCAAAGACTTTCCCTCTGTTTGGCACCGGCTATCGCGAATCAAATATTTCTAAAATTAATTATTGTTGTAAGTAGTTCACACAGCAAACAGTCATACTTAATTATTTGGATTATGGCGATTATCACCGAAAAAAGGTCATAATCCCCATAATTGCAATGGGGATTGAGACAGTGGGGATTATGTCTGGGTGCCGGTTTTGGATTTTCCATTTTAAATAAAAGTGTAGATGGGGGTGGCGAAAATATCGACCTATTACGCCAATCCTTAAATATTCATCGTAGACCCCATAAAGTATATATATATATATATATATATATATATATATATATATATATATATATATATATATATATATATATATATATATATATATTCATAATCAGAATAAAATTCTAAGTCGATTTAACGATGTCCGTCTGTCTGTCTGTCCATCTTTCCGTCTGTCTGCCTGTTGAAATCACGATACAGCCCACATTATTTGAGCCAAAATTTATCAGAGTAATTTGTATTGTGTCTAGGATGGTTGGTATTGAAAATGAGATATATCGGTCCACGTTCTGGTATAGTCCCCATATAACGGTTCCCCCGATATTCGGTATTTTGATGATTTATGCCACATTTTTTCACGGATTTGTCTGAAAATTGGTATTTGAAGATCATAACGGGTTCCTGTGCGTGTGGCAAAACATTGCATGTATAGGTCCACGTTTTGATATAGCCCCCATATAAAGGTACCTCCCGATGTTCGGTATTTTGATGATTATTGCCGCATTTTTTCACGGATTTGTCTAAAAATTGGTATTTGTTGGTCATAATGGGTTCCAGCTCCAGTGGCGAAACATTGCATGTATGGGTCCAAGATTTGGTATAGCCCCCGTAAAACGGTACCTCCCGATATTCGGCATTTTAATGGTTTTTACCACATTTCTTCTAATGTTTCCTTTACCCTAAGGTGGAGGGTATTAAAAGTTTGGCACGGCCGAACTTAATGTTTTTACTTGTTTATTTCTAGTCACGCTACACGGGGTTTGCGTCACAATTATGACGCAAACCTCACGAAATTAGGCGTTGAGTCAGGGTTAGGGTCAGAATAAATAAATTTGGTGAACAGGCTATAAGACTATCTTTACCGTTTTTTTTTTTGTTTTTGAAAATTTTCAAGTTCCTTCGAAATGGCCCGGCCGAACTTAGCTGCTTTTTTTTTTTTTTTTTTTTTTTTTTTTTTTTTTTTTTTTTTTGCCAGGATACCGTGCCGTGTATGAATTGTCAAAACCAGTCATGGCATTCTTGAGTTATAAGCGTAGTAAGTAACATAACTTTCTTTTGAAAATAATTCTTTCGTTTGTATCCTTCTCTGAAATGATATTATTCGCATAGTTAAACTTACCGAAGAAATACATAAAATCTAAAAATAAAAACACTTCACATCATATTAGAATTCATTTTTTTTTTTTTTTTTTTTTTTTTGATTTAATCCTTTTCTTTCAAAAGACAATTCCAAATTTGTCTGAATCGTTAAAATCAGACCACCTGTTCGTAAGTTATAAGCGTAGTAACTAACACAACTTTTTTTTATATATTTAGATTAAATAATAAAAACGTATCATAAAGTTGTATTGCCATCCGTCTAATCATCAATCCATTTTCACCTTTTCCACTCAGCACTGCATTGTATATATGTGTCTTTAAGCCATGTATATAGATAAAAACTAAGTGTGAGTATATTGTATCTTTACTGTTCCATTTGGGCCTTAAGTAGGGTAAAAAATTGATATGCCGTTGTCATTAGCTGCAACAAACAAAAAAAGGCCAAAATAAATAGAAATCGTAGAAAAATTAATAGCGTTAGCCAAGATTTGACGCACTACTTCTATGTGTAGTCGTATGTAACGGCTATTGCAGACATTTAAAAACGAAATATATGCTCTTAATAGAAACTCACATTTCCATAACTTTCCATGGATATGGTGAAAAATTTAAATGCTGTCAAATGTGAAGGCCTCTGAGAACGGGCTATAGCCAATACCAGCATACGTTGATAACGAACATCAGTCCAATACCATTCTTGACCGATTAATGACTCGCTTACTCGGGAACTCTGGAAAATAAGAAACAAGTAAAAAAGCTTTAAGTTCGACCGGGCCGAATTTTGAATACCCACCACCATTTGGAACGAACTTTGCAATTTTCAAAAAATTAAAATCCGTTAAAAATTCTGTTGAAATCTTAATAATACCGAATATAGCTGTTATATTAATGTCTATACGACGACGTGGACCAGCATAGGCAACATTTGTCATAAGCCATTACAATATTCAAATGCGAAACTTGAAAAAAATGTCGCTAAAATCATTCAAATATCGAATATTGAGAGGTACCGTTATGTGGGGGCTATACAAGGACGTGGACCTACACATAAAATTTTCTGTCAAAGGTTGTAGTGTCCAATTCTAATTTCAAATAACAAATTTGAAAGAATTCCGATGAATAATGTCGCTCAAATATCGGGAGTTACCATTGTATGCGGGTATACGAAGATGTGGACCTGCACAGACAATTTTCTGTAATAGGCTGTAATATCCATTACGAACTTCAAATACCTAACTTGAAACAATTCCGCTGAATAGTGTCGCTAAAATCATCAAAATACCGAATACCGGTAGGTACCATTATATAGGGGCTATAGCAAAACGTGCACCTACATAGGCTATTTTTATTACCAAAAGTCCTGAAGATATAATATACAATTGAGTAATTTTTTTCAACCACTTCATTTCCTTCGGAAGCTAGACTGCAACATTTCTAAGCCACCCTTCCGACAGCTGTTAAAAATATTCCAGTGACAGCTCATTAAATTGTTTACAAGCGAACAAAAGCATTTTGGTGAGAATTTTCCAGAAAAAAATGTATTCGTGATGGAATTAAAGTGTGATACACAAGTGGCTGTCGTTAGATTACTCCAGGATTTAAATGTGAATACATTTTTTGTGTCTCGTACCATCACTCGTTACCGTGATACTGGTAGCGTAGTCCATCGCCAAGGAAGTGCACGGAAGAAATTAGAAACATCAGCAGAAATGATTCGAAAAGTAAAGAAGCGACTTGGTCGAAACCCGCGTCGCACTGGCCGGAAAAAGCCTCGAGAGCTGAACATATCACAATATTCCATTCGGAAAATATTGAAAAATAAGCACGAGGTAAAAACATTAAAATTCTAAAAAGTGCAAAAAGTTACACCTCAACAGAAAGAAAATAGACTCAAAAGAGCTAAACAGTTGCTTCACTTGGCCGAATGTAGTGAACTGCCGAATTTGGTTTTCTCCGATGAGAAAACATTCGTGATTCAGCAGTTTGTAAACAAACAACATGATCGTATTGACTTGTCAAGGAGGTCAGCAAATAATGTGCACCTTCGGTTCGCCACCAGGACTCAAGCGCCGGGTATGGTGATGGTGTGGGCCGTCATAACAGTTGACGGTCTCCGCTATTATTCTGGAGGGTGTATTAAAGCCTTGAGCAGTTTTTTATGTCACCCTGTATATACTTTGTGAGATAAAAAATGTATATTTTGAGGTGTTACAAACGGAATGACAAACTTAATATACCCTCCATACTATGGCCGAGGGTATAATAACATACACACAAATATAGCTGGAGGTACATTTAGCATAAATCTTTGAATGCTCCTCCGTAAAATAACAAAGGAGCGTGGGGTGAAATTAAATTAAGTCAACCTCCTTTGTTTTCTTACGACGAAGCCAGCCAGTGTCTTAGTCGAAAAAAATCTTCTATGTTCCTGCTAAGAAGGAGCAATAAGAAGTAAGCCTAGGAACATACATAAATGCATAAAATGTAACATGCGCCTGTTGTGTGTGAGCGAAACTTAAAAGCAGGTAAAAAAACTCACTTCATTTTTCTGGACGTTTTAGAGCATGAAACGTTCTTTGTGTTATCAAAATTTAAAAAAAAAATTAAATGGTTCGATTTTTGAAATGGGGTTTTTTCAGGCAGCTCGAACCGTTGTCTTGGTTCGGTTCAGTATTATCTTTATATAAAAGAGTAGTTGGCTGGAATTTTGAAATTTAAAGAGGTGGTCTTGGAAATGTGTACTACAAGTGCACGACAAGTACTAAATCGTACCATATTTGGTACAATTTGGTATTCGGTTAACAGATAATGCTTGAAATCTGACATTTCGTATTAGGGTCGCTGTTCATTTGTAGCCTGGACATATGGAGGTAGTTTCGGAAATATGTGCTATAATTGTACGAAAAGTACTAAATAGCATTAAATTTGGTATTGTTTGAAGGGATAGGGATGGAATCCTTAAATTTAATAAATTTATCGGGTGAAGGAGTAGAGATGTTATTCTGAAATTTTATATAAATGTCACAGTCTGTGTCTGTTTTGTTAAGATATGGAGCTGACTATAAATTTACTAAATGGTACAAAATCTGACAATATTGGAAGTTAGCTGGAAGCTGAAATCGTGAAATTTGATATTTTGATTACTGAAGGTATCCGTACTTGAGATTTGGCGGTGGCGAAGAGTCCGATATTTGAACGAAAAGTACTAAATGGTACTACGGGGGATGATTTTAATATATATTTAATAGAGCTGAAATCCTGTAATTTAATATATAAGGGTTACATTGGTGTCTGTGGTTAAGATATGTAGCTAACTCCAATTGTACTAAATGGTAATAAATTTGGCAATAGGGAAAATTACAGAGCTAAAATCCTGAAATTTGATATTAAGACCATTGTTGGTATCTGAGGTTGAGGTATGGAGATTGTTTTAAAAATCCGTTTAATTGTACGAAAAGAATCAAATGCTACTAAATATTGGGTGAAGACATAGAACTGAAATTTGCTATGGCAAAAATGATCGGTCAAAAATTCTTCTAGGTATCTGCGCCTTAAGATATGCTATGGAACTGGCTGGAATGTAGAAGTAAGAAGACAAAATTTCGTCTTTTAGATTAGATAAAATTAAGGTTTTTATACCCCACACCACAAAGTGGTCAGGGTATTATGTCTTTGTGCATTTGTTTGTAACATTCAAAAGGAAACGAGACAGACCCATAGTTCCTTTTAATGATCTGCATAAAATCACATTCTTAGTCGATTTATGCATTTCTGTGAAAAAAGTACAGTTCGTATTTATTACCCGATCCAGATGAAATTTTCCAAACAACATTTGTTTGGCCCAAGGACGAACCCTATTGAAATTGGGGATAATCGGTAAAAATTTATGTATATATATCATCGTCCGATTTGTCTCTTATTGTGCACCAAACGTGTAATATCAGCCCGAATAGTATGCAATTTTGCACATACAACCAAATTAGGCCTGAAAATAAGTATGTCAAATTGGAAATCGTTTCAGATATAGCTATAACTCCCACCCGACTTTAAGACTTTCTTTACTGGTTTTTATTGGCTTAAGTCATCGACTACCTTCTTTGTAAAAGAAGATATTGGTGTGTGCATGTATAAATTATGGACTGACAGCATATTTTATACTTGCACCTCTATTGTTAGTTGTTTTCCTATAGTAACCTCCTTTATGAGAATTTATGTGACGCATACTTACTGAATCCGGTAAAACGAAAACCTACTATTATACTTACATAGTCCATCAATAAGTTTCCAAACATACAAATATAGTAAACCTGAGTGGATGCTGATGTAAAAAAGCCCACAAATTTTATCATATCCAAGCCAAATTCCGAACCTTTTGTTATTTGTATTGAAATCATGACGATAATTAGTATGGAGATCATATAATTCAACAGAATCGAAATACTGAAAACTTCATTTACCGTTTCGGCAACACTGCAATGGAATATTAAAAACACAAATATTTTCATAAATATTACAATAATACATATTGAGACTTTCAAACAATCATTGCATTTATACCGTACTTTAATAAGACCAGGAAATACTTAAAAGAAAGGTAAACCAAAGAAGTAAAACAACAGGAAGTTCAGCCGGGCTGAACTTTGAATACTCTCCACCATTTGGAACGAATTAGAAAATTTCCAAAAAAAAAAAATAAAATCCATTAAAAATTCGTTTAAAATCTATAAAATACCTAATATAGGAAGGTGCCGATATATGGGAGGATATACGATATTGTGGACCTATTAAGATTAATCTATGTCTGGGTGTAAAGTACTCATAAGGAACTTTTTGTGTTAATTTTCAGATAATTCCATTGAAATAAGCGGCTAAAATTATGAAAATACCGAATATCGGGGGGTACCGTTATATGGAGGATATATGATATTGTAGACTGGCATACTAGCTTCTAGGCTCAATTAGGTCGCATGTGCCGAATTCCATCCCATTTGGGCAAATATTAGACGTTTGGTGCACAAAAAAGGTAAATCGGGCGAAGTTATATATTGGAGCTATAGCTATATCTGATCCGATTTCGATCAAATTTGGCATACTTATTTTCAGGCCTAATTTGGTTGTATATGCAAAATTCCATACTATTCGGACTGATATAACACGTTTGGTGCACAATAAAAGGCAAATCGGACGAAGATATATATGGGAGCTATGTATAAATTTTTACGGATTATCTCCAATTTCAATAGGGTTCGTCCTTGGGCCAAACAAATGATTTGTGCAAAATTTCATCTCAATCGGATAATAAATGCGACCTGCATTTTGTTCACAAGAATACATGGACAGGCGGACGGACTGACATGCATAAATCAACTCAGAAAGTGATTCTATGGAGATCCTCAAAAGTAACTATGGGTCTATCTCGCTTCCTTCTCCATGTTACAAACAAATGCACCACTATGTGGTATAGGTTAAAAATATTAGTATTGGCAATATTACAAAAAAAAAAAAAAAAAAAAAAAAAAAAAAAAAAAAAACAAGTAAAAAGCTGTTAGTTCGTCCGGGCCGAACTTTGAATACCCTCCACCATTTGGAACGATTTTTGAAATTTTCAAAAACAAAATCCGTTAAAAATTCTTTTAAAATTTTTAAAATACCGAATGTATCCGTTATATTAGGGCCTATACGACGACGTGGATCTGGAGATTCAAATGCGAAACTTGAAAACAATTTCGGTGAATAATGTAGCTAAAATCATTAAAATACCGAATATCGGAAGGTACCATTTTATGAGGGCTATACGAAGACGTGGACTTACATTTTCAATACCAAAAGTCCTGTAGATATAATATACATTTAAGTAAAGTTGTATCAACCTTCTTCATTTCATTCGGAAGCTAGAGTGATTTCCACAGACGGACGGACGTCGCTAAGTCGACACAGAATTTTATGCTGCTCAATAATATATGTACTTTGTGGGGTCTTAAATGTATTTTTCGAGGTGTTACAAATGGAATGACAAACTTAATATACCCTCCATACTATGGTGGAGGGTATAACAAACATCTATATTAAATTGTATGCGAAATCATAAATTCCATATTCATCTCAGGTTTCTGGTTGAGAGGAATATTAGATATAAAGCAAGTTGTAAAGAATCTACGACCTGTTTTGCAAATGTCACAGATAAAAGTATTAAAAATTGTGACCATTTGTGGGTGAGGTACCTTAAGGGGCTCGCAGATATATATCGTCTTCACAATAGATCTTGAGTTAGCAAAAATGTTTGTCTATGTGAAATTTAAGGAGAGTTGGATGCTTATTTTGCTTTCTTTTGGAACGAATTTGGAAATTTTCAAAAACTAAGATCCCGTAAAAATTCTATTAAAATATTAAAAATACCGAATACAGCCATTATATTGGAGTTTCTACGACGTGAACCTACATAGGCTTTGTTTGTCATAAGCCATTACCATTTTTAAATTCGAAACTTAAAATAAACGGTGAATAATGTAGCTAAACTCATCAAAATGCGGTATATAGGGAGATACCGTTATATCAAAACTATACGAAGACCTGGTCCTGCATAGACAATTTTCTGTCACAGGCTGTAGCATCCATTACGAACTTCAAATACGACATCTCAAACTATTTCGGTGAATACTGTACCTGAAATCGTCAAAATACCGAATATAGGGAGGTACTGATGTATGGGGCCTGTACGAAGACCTGGACCTGCATAGACAATTTTCTGTCACAGACTGTAGTTCCTATTACGATCTCTAAATACGTAATTTAAAACTACTCTGGTGATTAATAACGCTAAAATCATCAAAATATCGAATATCGGGAGGGAATGTTAAATGGGGGCTATTCGAAGATGTGGACCTGCACCGACGATTTTCTGTCATAGGCTGTAGTATCCATTACGTACTTCAAATAACAAATTTGAAACATTTCTGGTGAATAATGTCGCTAAAATCATTAAAATAACGAATATCGGGAGGTACCAAAACGTGGACCTGTACAGAAGATTTTCTGTCATAATCTGTAGTATCCATTGCAAACTTCAAAAACCAAATTTTAAACGATTCCGATAAGTAATGTCGCTAAGATCATTAAAATACCGAATCCTGCAAACCAAACATCCTGCATACATAATATACATTTGAGTAAAATTTTATAAACCTTCTTCATTTCGTTCGGAAGCAAGACTGATTTCCACAGACGAACGGACATCGTTAAATCGACATAGAATTTTATGCTGATCAAGAATATATATACTTTGTGGGGCCTAAAAATGTATATTTCGAGGTGTTACAAACGCAATGACAAACTTAATATACCCTCCATACTATGGTGGAGGGTAAAAGAATAAAACATATTTTGAACTTACATATTCAACAAATTATGCCGTTCCAAAACAATTTTCAGTTCCTTCATATCTTCCTCATAATTCCGTGATTTGAAATTTTCAATGCGATAACAGATATAATCGTACTGCATTATGACCAAATATATTGTGCACATTAGCAACATATCGGAACCGACGAAATAGCACGACACCGTAAAACCACCAAGGAACTGGGAAAAATAGCCGACGACATAACCAATGCCGGCAGTTGCATCAAATGGGTATACCATAATGTAGGGTGTGCGAGTAACAAACTCCGAATCCGCACTGGTCAGATATTCAATTGTCGACTGGACCAAGGGAAAGGCAATGAACATTATGGCAATACTGCAGTGTTGAATGCTCATGATCTTGGCATGACGCATAATATAGCCGTAGTTGTGGGCCAAACGAAATTCTTGACGTTCCTTGAGTGTTGCCGGAAATATGCCCTCAATATCCTTGAGAACGGTGTAGAGCTTCTTGCGACCAATGGCCACGGAAATGGTTTTGCAACAACCATTCATGGCAAACATGAAATAGAGAATCCACTGGGTTGCCTGCATCGTATCGACGAATTCGCCAAACACACAGAACAAACTTTTGGCCAAGAAACAACCGATGAAATTGATGCCGAGCAGCAGGAAGATACACTTCTCCTTGGTGGTCATTATATCATCGGCATCCCATTGAAATATCTTTATGCCGACAGCGCTATAAAACTTCAACGGTAGACGTATGAAGTCGAACAGAATTAGAGAATTATCCGTTTCCAGTACCATTGCAATCGGGCTAAGGGAACACTTTGAATGATGTGGAAATGCCGAAGGGCTAGTTTACCTTGCCATTGAAGGATTATGATTTAATTGATACATTGTTAATTTGAGAGTACTCTTAATAATGAGTCTATTTGTAAAGATATATATAATTGGCTTTTATGGTTTATTACAGAACGAAACGGGGAGGCTTTCTAATGCCTTTTTTTTTCTTTTGTTCAATGTTTGCAAACAATGCAGACAAGTTCGACAACAGGTGTGTGATATAATTACAATTCACAATGTATGATCCAACCAATTAATGGGATTGAAATTATACTGCAAAGAAAGTGTGTGTGCGATTGTTATATCCTCTATATTAAGTTCGCCATTCCATTTGTAACTCGTCGAAAGAATTATTTTAGATCTAACGAAGTATTGTTACGAATATTACCTTCATTATATAATTAATTGACCTTTTTACAAATCTTGTTATTAAATAAAGGCAAATTTGCTTCCCGAGAGGTTTTAATACCCTACAACATTATGTATTGGAGGTATTATAAGTTTGATTGGGCTAAAAATTATGTAACATCTCGAAACATTGGTTTCCCGCATAGGAAAGTATATATAGATCTTCCCAGCTCGCCGAGCTGAGTCGATCTAGCTATGTATGTCCGTCCATACGTCCGTCTGTCCATGTTAATTTGTAATTACTCTACAGGTCGCAATTCACGAAATTTAGAATGGAGGTGGGGCTAGTGCCGGAATAGAAGCCTAAGCCTAAATTGAGTTAGTTTAGTTAAAACTGACCAAAAACGGAAAATTTTCCTGATTATGCAGTTGCTCTACAGTTCGCAATTATAGACCAATCGAATAGGAAATTAGCATAGGACTAGAGCTTTGGGCTGAGCAGGGGTTTTTCAATTGATGGTCATCGGGTAATATTTAGTGGGTGAAAAAGACAATAATATTTGTGCTACATAAAAGTCAAATTTTCCATTACACGGCGAATATCCCGATGAAGTAACAAATAGACGAACAGGTCAATTCTGACCGTTATGTAAATGCCGATAGTAAATATATCGGATATACAGGGTGAGAATAAAAAACTGCAAAAAAAAAACTTCAGACTACTGCCATTTCAAGGCCACTCGTCCGACAGCTGTTAAAATTATTCCAGTGACAGCTCATTATATTGTTTACAAGCGTACAAAAGCATTTTGGTGAGAATTTTCCAGAAAATAAGTTATTCGTGATGGAATTCAATCGTGATGTTGTTATTTCTTTATATTTGGCTGGAAAACCATCTTTAGAACACTCCAGCATTTAAATGTGAATAAATCTTTTGTGTCTCGTACCATCGCTCGTTACCGTGATACTGGTAGCGTAGCCCGACGTCAGGGAAGTGGACCGAAGAATACAGCAACATCAGCAGAAATGGTTCGAAAAATAAAAAAGCGACTTCATCGAAACCCTCGTCGCAGTGGCTGAAAAATTACTCGTGAGCTGAACTTTTCGCAATATTTCATTCGGCAAATATTGAAAAATGAGCTCGGCGTAAAGCGATTGAAATTCCAAAAAGTGCAAGAACTTACACCGCAACAGAAAGAAAGTAAATTCAAAAGAGGTAAAGTTTCTCTTCGCTTGGCCGAAAGTGGTGAAATGCCGAACTTCTTCGATGAGAAAACATTCGTTGTCCAGCAGCTTGTAATCAAAGAAAATGGTCGTGTTTTCTTGCTAAAGAGGTCAGCTGAAAATGTGCACCTTCGGTTGGCCACCAGAACTCAAGCGCCGGCCATGGTGATGGGCTGGGCCGCCATAACAGTCAATGGTCGCTCTCCGTTCTTATTAATCGACCGTGGCATCAGAATAAATACCGAATATTATCGCAAAAATATTCTGGAGGGTGTATTAAAGCCTTGGGCACGCAAACATTTAGGCAGCAAACCTTGGACATTCCAAGAGGACTCAGCAATATTGCACTCGGCAAGCGCCACCCAAGAATGGTTACAAAATGAGGTTCCTCGCTTCATTTCCAGCGCACAATCGCCACCAAAATTTCCGGATACCAATCCATTAGACTATTGTGTCTGGAGTATTTTCAAAAGCAAGGTTGGCACTAAAAAATATCAAAGTGTCGATCACCTCAAGCAAGTGCTTCGCCGGGAGTGGGCCAAAATACCGCAGACCAACATTTGGTCAGCGTGTGGCGTTTTCATTGGCCGTTTTAAGGCCATAATTCGTGACAAAGGTGACAAATTCGAACAAATCTAAACTTATTCTAAAACTTGATGCTATTTCCGACATTTTTTGCTTTCATTTAATAAAATTTAAAAAAATTTAAAAAATATGGCATTTGACTTTGTTGCAATATTTTTATCTCACCCTGTAGATAGCGAAATATATACAATGCGTATGTACAAAGGAAGGGGATATTAACTAGAATGCATGTATCTCACGAATGGCGGGACCTATTTTGACAAATATTGTCAATTCAGAATTTGACTTATAATATTGAAGTGTACGTTTTGTAATATTTTTTTCACCTCACAACACAGGTTGGGGTTATTATATACAGATTGCAATTATCGTCCGATCATCATGAAATTTTAGGGTAGAGTAAGGCCTATTGTTTTCAAAGATCCCCGCAATACATTTAAGGGTTGAAATGGACCAGCAACTAAAAAAGTTAAAAGTTTTGCAGCCGATATAAAGATCACAAATAGAAACCAAATGGACCACTACTTTTGTGTGAAAAAATACCAACATTACTTACAGATGAAGTCCGAAAAACACAAAAGGCGAACTTACGGCTTTCTATTCTGATTTCGTTGACGAATATATCCTAATATCATAGACAAGCAAATCATATAGATGAGTCTAAATTTCAAATGAACCAAAAACCAGAAAAAAATGTCCTGATCACACAACTGAAGCCAATCGACACGCCTGAGAAGAGAATTAAGGTCTGGGAAGAATTCAAGCATTTTGGATGACCATTGAATTATATTTAGCTGTAAAATGGACCACAACAACCAACAGCACGACGGAGTCTGTAAATATTTGGCAAATGTCCCTGGTCGAAAAGCTAAGCTAACTTAAAATGCGAAATCTAACATATTATAGTGTTGTAGGATATCACATGGTCGGCCCCACACGACTATAGCCTTTGCTTACTCGTTTCTGCTAACTTGATTAATATATAACTCATCGGTCCACTCCTTCTGGTACCTACCTTAAAACATAACAATTTTGATAAACACTTAGTCGCATATCGGTCTTCCAAACCGACTGATACTTAGTTTTAAAGACAGGTATGCGATTAATTGTTTATAAAAATCTTTATTTTTTTAAGGTAGGTAACAGAAGGAGTGGACCGATGAGTTCTATATTCATACTAGATCTAATGTCAATAGTGCATTGTATGCTCATCGGAGAAAACCAAATTCGGAAGTTCACCACTTTCGAACAAGCAAAGCAACTCTTAAGCTTGTTTGAGTCTATTTTCTTTCTTTTGCGGTGTGCGTTCTTGAAATTTTTGAAATTTCAATGACTTTACCCCGAGCTCATATGTTAATATTTGCCGAATGGAATATTGCGATATGTTCAGCCCACAAACCATTTTTCGGCCATGCCACTGCGACGCGGGTTTCGATCAGTCGCTTCTTTACTTTTCGAAACATTTCTGCTGATGTTGCTGTTTTCATCCGTCCACTTCCTTGACGTGGGGCTACGCTACCAGTATCACGGTAACGAGCGATGGTACGAGACACAAAAGATTTATTCGCATTTAAATGCTGGAGTGCTCTAACGATAGCCACTTGTGGTTTTCCAGCCAAATATAAAGGAATCACACTATGAGGCTTGAATTCCATCACGAATAACTTATTTTCTGAAAAATTCTCACCAAAATGCTTTTGTACGCTTGTAAACAATATAATGAGCTGTCAATGGAATAATTTTAACAGCTGTCGAATGAGTGGCTTAGAAATGACACAGTCTGAAGTTGGTTGTAGTTTTTTCATCTCACCCTGTACAGTTCAGCAGTTTATTGAAAAGCATAAGGATTGCTCCGAAAAATTTGCGAAACCCAAGGCATTCAAATCCAATAATACGAAATATTGCTCGATACATGTTCTGGATACAATTTTTCCCAAACAAAAAATTTTCTTTCATGCAATATATGATTGTTATCAAATTCACTACCAGAAGAAACCCATATATTTTCTTAGTGTATAGGGTACCAGAATTAGCCGTAGAACAAAAATTTACTGTTTTTATATATTTAACAAAATAATGGCAAAAAAAAATATAAAAAGGGAAGACAGCGAGGACAAACCACTGTTGAAGTTAGGAATTTAGTAATTAAAAATTACAAAAACCATAAATCACTAAGTGAGATATCTGAGGTAGTTAAAAGAAGCCGATCTAAAGTTCAGCAGAGAATGTAGAGAATAAGCCAAAATGGCAAATAATAAAATATTTACCATAAGTGATGGAAAGTATATTTTACGGCAGATTAAAATTTTTGAGTGCACCGAAGCTCACAAAAATTGCTGAAAAGGATTTGGGAAAAGTAGGTTGCCCTCAAACAATAAGATATATACTGTATAAGTCAAACTAGACATAAACCTCTAATCAGCAATCGAAATCAAAAAGTAAGATTGCGATTTGCCAAGGAGCACATATCAAAAATTTTTTCATTTTGTAAGAATGTGCTGTTCACGAACGAGACCAAGTTTAACCTTTTTGGTTCAGATGGCAGATCTTATGTATTGAGAATGGCAAAAATATGAAGCCTACAGTGAAGCACGGTGGTGGGTCAATAATGGTGTGGGGTTCATTTTCAGTCTCTGGAGCTGGTGTATTGCATTTTTTTTAGGGGATTTATGGATCAGACTATGTACCTGAAAGAAAGTTTGCCACTGTGTAAGGAAAAGCTCGGCCTTGGGGAAGATTGCTATTTTTATCAAGACAATGATCCGACACAAGGCTTATAAAGTGCGGTCATGGCTGCTATATAATTGTCCCCACGTCATGGATA